CACAAACAGAAGGCAAGATGAAGTTATAACTTTATACCATCAGAGGGGCATTTAATAATTACTCAAGAACAAGTGGGATGAACTCTGTTTCAATTCATCCTCCTTTCTCAAATATACAGTAAGTCTTTCCTGAGAGCAACGACCCTGTCCCTGGGCAGCTGCTGTTACACTTTTCTTTATTAATCTTCTGGGGGTGGGGGAGAGGAAGAGACTTGACAAACACCACCACCATCTCACCATACTGAGCCATCTCGTTAATCAGCACACAGATACTTTCCACCACTGCTGGATCATCGTAGTGAAGGCAGTAGGCATCTTTGATCAGGTTTATTCCACTGCCTTTTGAATCTGTTATAAATCTCAAAGCCGATATTTCTGAAAGGGAGACAAAACACTGCTGGGCTAATTGGTAGCTGCAGACTGCATTATCTGCTTTCCAGCCCCCCACTCCAGCTAGCACACATGTAATACTTTTCCAGGAAGTCACGTCCATTATTTTCAGCCTTCCTAAAAGCTAGTCTGAAGCATATCTGGGCAACAAGTAGAAGACCATATATGCAGCCGACACTGTCATGCATGGCAGAAGTGATATTTTCACAGTTTTCACATTGATTGAGCCCTACCCATTTACACAGTTGAAACAACTTCATCGTAAAATAAGTAAGAAAACACTCTCAAGTTACTAACAGATCAGATTGTGCTGATCTAATACTTCTCATACATGCACGCTGGGTCTCTGGGAAGAAAAAAATTCGCACCTCCAGTTTCACTATTTCCTCTTCCAGTCCTGCAAGAAAAAATTAACTTGGGAGAGCAGATGCCAATCCCAATCTCACTATGAGCTCTTGAACTATACAGAAACATCCACTTCTGACCTGATTTGCAATTAATAAAAAAAGAATTGTGAATGTTACCAGATAGCCTTAGAAGGCTTGCTAATGCCAGGCAGGTGTTCTTCACCAGCAGTGGTCTTTCTGGGTTCATCCTGAGCGCATCCAGCAGAAGTGCTGTTGTGGGCTCATACTCATTTTCAGTTAAGCAACCTTTAAAAAAAAAAAAACACACACATAAAATCGCAAAACTTCAATATACTCAAAAGCCTTTAACACACTCATCAGCATTTCAACTTCTGCCTCCTGTTTCTGAAATGACTTTTTAATTATGCGATAAAAGTTACAAAGAAAGCATGTGAAAACCTGTACTGCAGTAAAAAAGGCCCAATAAAGATCATGAGTTGACCCAGAGGTCTAGGAGAAATTTCTGATACATTTTCTATGTCAAGATTTCCTTTCATTCTCCAAGCCAAAAGGAATGGAGAGTCCTGAATACTCATTCTGCTGGCAGGTACTAGAAATGAGATTGCTTAGGGCATTTCACTCAGCTCTTCCTAGTGGAATGATGGCGTAAGCGCAGGGCGGTAAACATGGCAATATTCTTGCATGAGGAAGAAGTAAGACAGTAGTACTGCAAGGATGCGTTTCTTAGCACACATGATAATGACAGATATGCATTTTATTTTTTAATCTGAAATACTGTTCCCAATTTACAAAGCAAATGGCATAAAAAACAAACCTCCCAGCCCATGCTGCGCAACACTAATGCTGCGTTCAAAGGAGTAACACAAATGGGATTCTTGGTCTTAAGAGAGAAGCCAGAGAATGCTCTGCACAACAAGGTTCCTGTAGCTGCCTATCGTTACAGTACCATCAGCAGTATCTCGTTATATAATTGCTACAGCTCATCAAAAATAGCTTCATTAGGGAGTGTTAGAGAGCAAGTGCATGGACGACTGGTTAAGAGAGGATGCAAGTTCCTAACTCTGCTGCCATCTGCAGAGCCTGCTGAGGCCAAGCAGCCTGTATTTCAAGGATCACCGCTGACAGACAGAGCGTTTGGCATACCAGCCTTTTCTGTGCACAAGGGACAAGGCAGCTGGGAAAACACACCTTGGAGTGACAATGCCCACAGAGCTGAGCAAGCAGACTCCGTGACTGTTCCATTCTGGAGGTGCTCTTGAAGGACCGCAGAGGTAACAGGGACAGCACTTTTCAGCAATGCTTGGTCTACATTATTCTCTGAATTACCATAACAAAACGGAAATGCATTAAGCAGAGTTATTTAATCAAGTAATAATATCATAAGCACATTGTATGTCAAATTATATCAGTAAAACCTTAATGGGTGATGGCATTGGAGTAATGCAACATTATTTTAGTATGGACAACAGCAGAGGGAAGGAATTTAAAGTGTCCAAAACCAAATAGTATTTTACAGGACTAATAAATAGTAATGTTTATTGCAGAAAGCTGAACTTCCCCAGGAACTAGTTTTCTTTGCCATTTAAATTATACATGGGGATCACAGCAAGAAACCTCCAAAAAACCCACCTTTTTGACAGAATATGGTCTGCAGGATAGATATTTAGCTGGTCACATAAATCAAATGGGTGGTTCATTGCACAGAGGGAATAAAACACACCAAGTCCAATTGTGCGCACACTGTGCTTTCAGCCTTCCTTGGTGATTAGAACACCACACACCTATACAAGAACATGTCACAGTAACAAATCCCCTAAAAAACTCCCAGCGTGGTCTCATAAGGAGTCAGCTCAAGCAATCACCCATGGCTCTCCAGCACTCTGGGATGACGCTGGTTTAGTTCTAAGGGAATGGGAAAAGTTCACTTGCCACCTGGCCAATCACATTTCTTTTGGAAAAGCAAGTCTCTAGGAGATGTCCAACTCGAGATTTAGCACAGTGCTGCCAAGAGAAGCGTGATGCAAAGAAATAGGATGCTATTAATTCCAAATGCTATTCTGATACCTAATCTAATATGCTGTTTGCACTGCAGTCCCTCTGCTAAGAGCAGAGCAAAACCACAACTGACAAACCAGAAACTGCGTGTACCCTTTCATTTCTGACAGCCTGCTCATAAGCCGTATCTTGGCCTAAACAGTAAAGATTTTACTTTGACACCTTATCACAAAAAGGGTTGCTAAAAAGTCTGCATTGTTTTCTCTCATTTAACTCTGGATCACTTAAAGTTATTCTAGTAGTGCTATGGAGACATCTCTCCAGAATGGGAGAAAGAAGAA